CAGGTTGCAGCATATTCAGGGGCATAAAGCAGGTCTCAGGAGATTTCAAAATACTGAAATCATGCAGCAGAAATTATGTTTTAAGAAGATCTTAATGTAAAGAACATAAACAAGTTACTCCTTTGTTTTGGTTCTTTTTTTTTTTTCTCCGGTACCGGGAACCGAACTCACGACCTTGCGCTTGCCAGGCAGGCGCTTTGCCGCTGAACTAAATCCCCAGCCCCTGTTTTGGTTCTTAATTGCCTACCATACTGTTTGTATTCTGCCATCTGCTACTGGTAGAAATTAGTTTACTCGACAGTGCATCTCTCTCTGTTCTTGGATCGGCAGGTGTATTTGATTCCGCTGGTGGACACTGATATTTTCTTCTTTTTTTTTTTGTGGTACTGGGAGAGCAAACTGGGAACACTGGGAACTACAATAAAAATTTTTTATTTTTATTCACAGAGTTGTCCAGGCAGGACTCAAATTTACAATCCTCCTGCCTCAGCCTCCTTAAGTGCTGGGATTACAGGATCACTACCATACTAGATCTGATTTTCTTTTAACTAGACTGCAGAAACTGTCTTTTGAGACATTTGATCTTTTTGAATGTTAAAGTTTGTCATGTATTCCCCCATTTCATATAAAAGAGAGTAACAGCTTGAGATTGATAACTTCCCAAACTTTATTTTCAGGAAGAATTAGTTGGGTTAATATCTGTAGGAGTTGTTCAATGGAGAAGGGATCTTAGTTCAGCTCTTAGCAAATTTTTTCATTCCCGTTTGTCCTTTTTATAATCGTTTTATCTTTTTGTGAGTTGCTGCTTTGGTTCATCAGGCTGTATAGAATGGTGGTTCTGTTAGCTTTGCAGTACTGACACAATACCTGAGATAATCAATTTAAAACAGAGAACAGGTTTATTTTGGTTCAGTTTTAAAGGTTTCAGTTCACGGCCCCCTGGCCCTATTGCCTTGGCCTGTGGCAGCGTGGTGTCTTGGCTAGACTACGTGGTGGAGGTGGCATGTTCACCTCATAGTGGCTGAGAAACAGAGTGAAAGACAGCCCTGGTCATTGTCTCAGTTACTTTTCTCATGTTACCTGACGCCCAGAATTAAGGAAGAAGAGGTTTGCTTTGCTTACAGTTTATTTAGCTTACAGTGTATGGAGGTTTCAGTCTATAATCAGCTGGCAGCAAGGCAGGATGGCACATGCAGAGGGCAACAATTCATGGCTGTGGAAAACAGCAAGAACAGCAAGAGCAAAAAGCGGGAAAAACAAGCCTCTTTCCCTCCCTTACAGTGTACCTGGCTATCCGCCCACGCCACCTCCGTACCCTCCTCTTGCACAGGCTCAGGGTGGATAACAGAAAACACGGGAGAGCAGGAAGGGCACCTCCTTTCACTCCAGGATGTAGAACTGCTGAGTCACTTAGCCAAGCCGCTAGACTCCTCAAGTTGACCCAGTGTATCAGCCACAACAGTCTTGATCCCAAGATCCCCTCCCAGTGACCTAACAGGCAGACATAGAGAGGTACTGGCGAAGTAGGAGAGGAAACCGCAACTTCCTTCGGTCCTTCCTTTGAGAGACACCTGTGTGTTTGCCTTTCTTTGGGTTGGGGTTGGAGCAAAGTGGTAGCTTCAGAGAGCCATAGGGCGCTTCACGCAAAAGGAGAAGGAGTATTCTAAGCAAAGGCTGGGGGCAGGGTATTTGCCTTGCGTGTTTCTGTGTAGGTCCGCCCTTTGCTGTAAGTGACGCGGAACCGCCTGTATTCTGAAGCAAAGGAGGATTTTATGGCATAGTAGTCTTTTTTTATTTTAAAGAGAATTAAAAAATAATAAAATGAGAAACGATATAAAATTTCACTAGACAAGATGATAGGAATTCAACAATGATTGTTACATTGCCTATTGTCTTCAAATTAGTTGTTCAGATTACCACTTATAAGCATGCAAAATTAGTCCCAAAAATTTAAGAAGAAAAAAAAATTAAGCATTGGCTCTTCCTTTCAGTGGGCCAATAGAAATCAGCAGTACAGTTAACCCTGAGGAATGGGTAGAAAAGATGTGATATTGTTATACACTGGAGTATTACTGAAGTATAAAAACAAATCAACTGGAGGCTTTTTAGGTAAATGGATGCAGCTAGAGACCATACTCAAAAGTGAAATAAATCATACTCGTGTGTGTAAACATCATATTGTGTCCCTGGTGTAAGAACCTGAAAGAATAAATAAAAGGGGAAAGGTACAATAGATACTGTGGGAAAGAAACTGCTCAAAGCATAGCAGTCTTTCCATTTCACGTACTTTTAGAGTAGAACATGCCATGTTTTGAGTACATCTGTTTAGAAGATGCACTTTCTTCTTACCCTGATGTCTACTGAATTGTAAACAGATTGTTCCTCCCGCTGTACATTCCAGTGTGAAAAGCTATGAGGTTGCATTGTTCAAGTTGGTATTCCAAGGAAACTATGGGATGTAATACAGTTTATGCATTTTGCTTGCAACAGTTTGTTAAACCTACTTGGAACAAAACTTTTCTGGTTTATTTTGATGTTTCAGAGGCCTTAAAAATAGATTGATTAAGATGTATCAATGTTAAAGTTAGTAATTAGATAATTTATGTATTTTTAAAGACTTTTAAAAATGAATGATTACAGCTTGCCTCAATTAATCGGTAAGCATTCTAGGCTTTTCTACATAAGCTCCTACCAGTGGTGAAACACCACTAAAGGATCATTAACCTTCAGAAAACACTTAACTTTATACCTCTATCCTAATTAAGTAACCTGTATAATTTGAAATCCTATTTACTTTTTATCATAGAAAATAATCTTTCTTGATGTTTAATGATTACCTACTAATTTTGACTCTTTCTTATGAAAATTAATGTTCTCTAGAAGAAAATTGTCATTTTTATACAGAGTAGGGAATGCAAATATTAATATCATTGTATTCGTACATCTTTTGCAAGGTCCATAAGCTTCAAAGAGCTTTAAAAAACTGAAAAAGGGCTGGGAATATAGCTTAGCAGCACAGCGCCTGCTGGCAAACGCAAGGTTGTGAGTTCAATTCCTGGTACCAAAAAAACCCTTAGTAATACAAATAAAAATAAAAAACAGAGTCTAAAGATCTTAATATAAATAGTGCTTAATTTCCATGCATATTGTTTTCCTTCTCTTTGCCATAGGTAGAAATTAGTTTCCTGAACAATCCACATACTTTTCTCTTGAATATTTATAGGCTTTCATAATAACTTTCTCCTACGTTTTTTCTTATCATGATTAAAGGTATTTAGATAATTTCATTATTCCTGATATTTTTACAACATTTCTCTGAGAAAATCAGTATATTTTACAGAATTTACTTCTTGTTTATATGTTATCTAGTAGGAAACATAAAACTGGGCTCACTGTAGGTGTTGAAGGAATATTTATTGGTTAGTGCTGTTAACTTTTCTATAAGGAAAATAATACTGATATGAAATAACTGCCCCCAGATTGCTAATGGTTTCTTTATTAGTTTGTTTTCTGGTGATAGAACAGAATGCTTGAGGCTGGGTAATTAAAAAAAAAAACAAAACACTAAGTTGATTTAACTTATAGTCTCATGGCTGAAAGTGTGCACGGGACAGGTTACCCTATCAGGTTTGCCCTCTGGTGAGGGTCTGTTGGTTGTGTCCCGTCATGGCAGATGGCACTGTGGCTGGAGGATGTGAGAAAGGGTGAAACTACATGGAAGACAGGAATTCAGGAAGCCAGTCTTGCTTTTTTATGACAGCCCTTGTAACCCTAACCAGGGTCCAAGAAGAACTACATTGTTTCTGGAGACACTACCGCTAATGACCTAATCACATGCCCCATAGCACCTCCCACATGGTTGTGTCTTAAAGGTACCAGTACTTCTTTGTTTGGTAGGTACCAGTACTTCTTTTTTTATTTTATGAAAAAAAAACAAAACAAAATTTCACTAGGAAATAATAAAAAACAATAGGTAATACACTGTGTATTATTATCTTCAAAGTAGTTAGAGCACCAGATGTAGAGAAAAAGATTTTCTTTTACAAAGAAGCAACAAGCCTACAGAGTGGGAAAAAGTTTCTGCTACCTCTTACTTGGACAGAGGACTAACATCTAGAATATATAAAGATCTCAAAAAAATTAAGACTCTTCAAAATAAAAGATCCACCGGTTCTTAACATCATTACATTGGGGACTAAGTTTCCAGTTCATGAACCCTTGAGGGATACCCATAAACCGTATCTGTACCTTCGTGGTTTTCTTTAAAATGCTCAGGATGTTTCTTGCTCCTATGTAGCACACTTAAAGTAGATTTTATATCACCTGAAATATGTAATTAGTTTAATGAGTTCCAGGTCATATTATAAATAATGACTTTTCTATTAAACCTGGGAGCATGACTCACTTAGGAGAATATGTCCTACATTGTATTTAGTTTTTAAAGCTGTATGGTTAAAGGGTAATATACAGTAAGACATTAGATGCTAATAAGTTACTAATACTGTACCACCTTGATTCTCACCATCTTTGAGATTTACAATTCTAAAATGTTCAGTAATTGATAAACCTGATCGTGATCATTGTTTTATAAGACAAGAGTTTAGAAAATAATGTGGTCTCTATTTTGAAGAGGTCAGGTTTGGCTTTAATCAGTAAGCACCTGAAATACTGTTCTTCACTTTAAAAAATGTGTTCAAAAGAAAAGTACTTCTGCCAGTACGGTACAAAAGCAAAATCAACGGTAAGCTGGGGAAATTTGCTCTCTATATTTACCCAGAATGCTGTTCAAATTCATAGCAGTGGAGCACTTGGGACATCTGTTTATTCTCATTTTCAGTAGGCTTAATTTTAAAAATTTGAAAAAATACATAATTAGGATAAAATGTTATCTGTCCTTAAAACTTTTGAGCAGAAGTCATTTATGAATTCAGATACCGACGGCAAGATCTTTTAAAAATGGTGTTCACTTTCGTTCTTTCTTCTCCTTCGCTCTCCCGAAGCAGATTGCCAAACTACGGCAGCAGCTCCAGCGCAGCAAACAGAGCAGTCGGCACAGTAAGGAGAAAGATCGACAGTCGCCTCTCCATGGCAACCATATAACAATCAGTCACACTCAGGTAGGCTGGCCACATTCTTGCTGTCCACATTTGACTAATTCCCTCTAGTTCATTATGGAGGCAGAATGAATCGTTTTAAAATTACAACAAAACCTTTAGCTCTGTCACAGTACTACTGTTTGTTAAATTGTTGTAAGAAAAATTATTTAAAAGCTAGATTTTTAGTCGTCTTTAACTAACAGATGTGTTCTGAAGGATAATAGCGAGCCTGAGCCGAAATCATACCTTGTGCACTTACTGGAAAATTAATCTTGCTGATGGTTCCTTAGCTCATCTATTTCTGTATCTTTTTATATGTCTTGTATCTATTTTTGCTAGAAGAAATTGAAGATTAGAATTTTTGTTTCCCCCCAAACGTATACTAACATATCCCATGCGACGAAATTCGAGAGATGCTGCTATAGACCAAATTCATTTACAAATGTTGATATAAATCTTAGTATTCTTAGTATGCCGAAGACACTGTAGCAGAAGAAACCCAAGCAGCGTATCCAAACAACCCAATTAGGTTTCTTTCACAAGAATAAGAATGATTTAGGGCCTGGGGATTTAGCTCAGCGGCACAGTGCCTGCCTGGCAAGCGCAAGGTTGTGAGTTCGATTCCTAGTACCGGAAAAACAACAACAACAACAAAAAAGAATAGTATTAGGAAATGTATTAATTTAGTTTGTTATATTAGAAAGTCAAAGTAGAAATTATATATTTTATTTTCTTGATGCTGAATCACATGATAAGACTCAAGATGCATTTGTGATTTAAAAAAAAACTTTTAGTAATCTAAAAATAGGATATTCCTAATATGACTAACTTCAAACCTGAAGGACAATATCAGTAAAATATTGGCAGCGTTAGTGTTAAGATAAAAATCAACACAGATGTCTGTAATTACTGATATTTTAGACAAGTCGGTAAAAAAAAAGATCGCTGTTTGCATATGATGTATATTTAGAAAATCAAAATGAATTAACCAGACTTTTAAAACTAATTATAGGATTGCTAAAATAAAAAATACTAGCAACACCAAGTGTCGATGAGGATGTACAACAAACAGAACAGCCACACATGGCTGATTTGAACCCAAAGGGGTACGGCATGGCAAACAATTTATCATCTTAAGTTAAACATAAACTGACCATGCAGGCCAGAATTTCTACCTTTTGGTGTCTCTCCAGGAGAAGTAAAGCCGTTCGTCTGCACAAACACTTGCACATAGATGTTTTTGGAGACATTTATCACAGTAAAGAAAAAAAAAGCAAATAAGTATTCATAAACTGGTGGTGAGCAGGTATTTCACATACCTGTACAGTGTAATACTGTCCAACAGTGAAGTGGAAGGAACAGCCCATACATATTACAACATGACTGAATCTACAAAACATGCTAAGTGTGAAAGATGCTAAGAGCCAAGGGATACATACCGTGTGACTCGTTACCTTGAATTCCTCAAAAGGTGAAATTATTGAAACAAAATACTGGACTCCAAAAAGCCCTTAGGGAATTTTTTTGGAGTGATAGAAAGTTCTAAATGTGACTTGCGGTTAGTTGGGTGATTGTTTATGTTCAGCAAAATTCAACTAACTGCATACTTTAAATGTGATGATTTTATTGTATGTCAGACACACCTCATCAAAGCTTCAAACCAGCGCATCTCAGACATTTGAAGTGAGAATTCACCCACACCTCCATTTTTCTGCCTAAGCTGACAGCAGTAGTATATAATTATTGGATTTATTTCATGCACTGTCTTTAGGAATACATGCATTTGTGTAAATGGATTGACTTTTGATTTAATAAAATACATTGTTACACAGTGATTCAAATTTATATTTAATTTTTATCATGTGGCTATGTTTATAAATGTATTTCCCTATACATACATTTCTTTATTTCTTTATTTTTATTTTTTTCCAGTTCTGGGAATCAAACTTACGACCTTGCACTTTGCAGGCAGGCGCTGTGCTGCTGAGCTAAATCCCCGGCTTCCCCCTATACATACATTTATAGGTGAAATATAGTCTAAAATCTGCTTTAAAATACTCCAGCAACCGAAACAAAATCGGTGTTTAGATGACAAATTAACGAATATTGATAATTTTTGAAGCTGGCTAGGACAGCCTCCATTCATTATGCTGTTCTATCTAATCGTGTTTATGATTGGAATTTTACATAATAAACAGGGAAAAAACTAAAATTTAATAAGATGATTAGACAAAATATAAAAGTACAAAAATTGTGTTTTTTCTTACACTAACAAAAAGTTTTTAAAAAGAAAAAAATATAAAATGCCTGCCATTAAACTTTTAAAAATGCGAGCTCTGTGTGTTTATTGAAGATATAAAAAATAAATTAAAGATAAAAATGGGAAGTCTTAATGTTAATGGATGAGAAGATAATTTCCAAATAGCAGTTTACCCCAAATAAATGCACAAATGAGGGATATCATATATATACATATATATATATCCTTTGTAGATGAAAAGGGCACCAAGATGTGGAGGGGAAAGGGAAAGGAAGGGGAATTAAAAAGAATTAAAATGTGTTACGTACCTGTACCAACTCCCTGCAACGAGTGTAGTCATTACCTACTGCGAACATATACTAATAAAGAATGTTTAAAAGATAGCACCTTAAGGAAATCGAATACAGAACCCATAAATAAATGTCAGGGCAGTTGGACTACTATGTTTGTAAAAAAAAAAGTACTAAGCTCTTAACTTCTCTCAGTATCATGATTGTTTTAATATTTTAATTATGAAAAGTCATAAAATGCTAAAAAATATATATATATATTTGAGCCTGTAATCCCAACACTTGGGAGGCTGAGGCAGGAGGATCACTGTGAGTTTGAGGCTGGCCTGGGCTACAAAGTGAATTCAGGGCCAGCCTGAAGTGCATAGTAAAACCCTGTCTCTAAAAGACCAAAAAAAAGAAAAAAAATGTGTGTGTGTGTGTGTGTGTGTGTGTGTGTGTGTGTGTATAATATTGAAGAAACAGCATATGTGTGATAAAAAGTTAAAAGTTCAGTATGACAAAAGCTGATGTATAGTAACAGCTTATTAAAGGTGTCAGTTCACACAAAGCAGAGCATAGAATGGGATTGGGAAATGCTAACGTGCTGACCGGGAATTAGCAGTCCACCTCATTACACGTTATATATGTCAACTTGAATCATTCAGTGTAAAATGAGACCATGGATTGTTTTCTTCTTTTGACTTTTATTAGTACATGTTTGCAGTATGTGATGGTACCTGCATGTAACACACTTCAGTGCCCTTCTTTTTTCCCCTCTCTCCACCCACATTTTATTTTTCCAGCATCAGATTCAATTACTTATCTTCTAAGACCTTCTAAAATTACCTTACCGTATTATATATAGATTGAAAACCAGACTAATAGGTCAAAGCACCTATAAGACAATCGTTCTAAGTCAAGGTGCAGTTTTAGATACATTGTCCTCGCTGGATCACAGTCTCTTCATTTTTATCGTTTTTGCTGTCATCTTTTACTTCGTACTTTATCCGTGTGTATGTCGAGGTTTTCGTGTAAGAGGAGCCACGCAGTAGTTAAGTTTGTGTGGCTGGGTTATTCCACGTAACATTACGGTCTCAGGTTGCATCCATTTTCCGACACATGACTCAGGTTTATCCGTCTTTATGGCAGAGCCGTACTCCACTGTGTATGAACACCATATTTTTTTATCCATCCATCTGTGGATGGACATAAAGGCCATTTCCAAGAGTTTTAACTATTATGAATGGTGCTGCTGTAAACATGGGTGGGCAGACATCCCTGTGGTGTGGTGTCTTTAACTCTTTCAGAAAGATACCTAGAACAGGAATGGCTGGGTCACATGGAATTTCTAGTTTTAGTTTTCTGAGGAGTCTCCATGCTGATTTCCATAGTGCGTGTATCAGTTTGCAGTTCCACCAAAAATGGGGAAGCGTTCCTTTCTCCACACAGCCTCACAGATTGTTTTAATTTTTACCTGCTAATCTCTGTTTTGCTCCTGCTGTATAATTTTCTTGAACATCAGAAGGGCCACCAACACTTTCGGTAATCCCTACATCAGAGATAGTTAATGTTTAAGAATGTTGCTAAGGAGTTTTGAAAACACCCTTACATTTGTTAAGTGAGTGTTGAATGTAGCATAGTACTGTCGTGACATTACTTAATGATCCAGTAGGCTTATTATTATTATTACTATTACTCTTGGGAATTGAATGCAGGGACTTTGTGTTGAACTTGTCCCCAGCTGCCTCCCCTCCCTTTTAAAATTGTATTTTGTGACAGGGCTCAAACTTGCACCTGCTAGAATATGAGGATCATAAACATATGCCACCATGCCCAGCTTAGGCTTTCTTAAATACTTGACAGAAGGGAAATGAAAAATACTAAAAGATAGTTGTCACTATATAGGAAACAAATCTTTTAAATGGACTTGGAGAAATGTGCAGTGGAGTCACATAATAGCACATCATTTCAACTGCTTTTTCAGTAAAACAAAACATGCACTAAAGATTCTGTGTGGCGTTCTGAACAAGTGCACATTGGAGTTACCCTTGTGTACTTGCATAAAGAGATTCTTCAGGGATTGTTGCGACTGACACGTCACCTTACTTTAGAACAGTGGTGGTAAACCTATGGTGCCCATACTACAGCATTCTGATTGTATCGCTGGGAGCTCTAAAATGCTTGCCATCCCTGCTTTAGAACGTACGTGTGTGTGTGTGTGTGTGTGTGTGTGTGTGTATGTGTGTGTGTATCTGTGTGTGTAGCAAATTATTATTATATCTGAAGTGTCAAAAACAACCATTCATTGACTTCTGATTTTATTTTTTTTGGTGGTGCTAGAGATTGAACCCGAAACCTCACACACACCGCTCAAGGGTTCTGCCACCGAGCTGTATCCCCAGCCCCTCACTTTTTAAGATGTGCTGCGTTCTTCGCTGTTGATTGCTTTGATCACAGATAACTTGACACCGCTTTCTTTTGTCCCATAGGCTGTGGGATCGAGGTCAGTCCCGATGCCACTGTCAAACATATCAGTGCCAAAATCATCAGTTTCACGTGTGCCCTGCAGTGTGGAAGGAATAAGTCCTGAGTTGGAAAAGGTGTTCATTAAGGAAAATAATGGGAAGGAGGAAGTGTCCAAGGTAAGGGTACATGGGATATTTGAGTCATTTTTCTTTAGTACTATAAACTCTGGGAGGCTGAGGCAGGAGGATCGCTGCAAGTTTAAGGCTAACTTGAGCTACAAAGTGAGTTCGAGACCAGCCTGAACTGCATAGTGAGATCCTGTCTCAAAAAAAAAAACAAACAAAAAAAAGACTACTACAAACTCTCAAAGTATGTTTTTGGTAACAGCTTCTAGGCAATAGAGTTTATATACCATATAATTTACCCTTTTTGGCATACAGTTTGGTGATTTGTAGCATATACACAGACTCACACTGTTATGTCAAAAACGAAGCAGTTTTATGACCCCACCCACACCCGTACGAAATTTCATACTCTTTGGTATTCATCCCTCATTTCCCTCTTAGCAGGTCCCATGCAGATAAATCCCTGACCTACTCTCTGGGTCTGTGAATTTCCCTGCTTCTAGATATCTCACATAAACAGAATCACACACCATGTGTCCTTTTGAAACTCACTTTTTTCACTTAATACAGTGCTTCTAAGATTCATCCGTTTATACTGTGTATCAGTATTTTCTTTATTGCTGAACAGCACTTAGTTTTACAAGTACTTAGTTGTATTTTATTTATCTAGTCATCAATTGATACGCAGTTAGACTATTTCTGATTTTTGGCTGTTGTGCCTAGTTTGCTATGAACACTTGTGTCCAAATTTTCATGTGAATGTAATGTTTTCATTTCTCTTGGGTGTATGCCTGAGATTGCAATTGCTGATGTCATATCTGTGTGTTTATTTTTTTGTATGGAGAATCAAACTCAGGACCTTGCAATTGCTAGGTAGGCGTTGTGCCACTGAGCTGCTCCCCCAGCCTCTATGTTTAAGCTGCTGAAGGGCAACCAGATTGTTTTCCAGAGTGGGAAACCATTTTACATTGCCACCAGCAATGTGTGAGCGCTCCAGCTTCTCTGCATTCTTGCAACACTTACAGTTATGTCTTTTTTTGGTTATAGCCATCCCAGTGGGTGTGAAATGGCATCTCATCATGGTATTGATTTGCATTTCCAAATGGCTAATGATTTAAGCATCTTTGCGTGACCTGTCTCATTAAGCTTCCTTAAAGAAATTTGTATTTAGATCCTTTGCTCCATTTAAAAATTTTTTTTATTATTGTCGTAAGTGTTCTTTCTAAAATTTTTATGTTATACATACAAATTCATGTCTCAGATACATCATTTGAAAATAGAAAATTCTATTCTGTCCATTATCCTTCTTCCTTTTAATTTTTTTTAATTTTGTGGGAAAAGAAACCAATTTAATAACAAAATAGTAAGAATAACAGTAGCTGGGGCTGAGGATTTAGCTCAGCGGCACAGCGCCTGCCGGGCAAGTGCAAGGTCATGAGTTCGATTCCCGGTACCGGAAAAAAACTAAAAAAAGAGTAACAGTAGCTAACACACTGTGGATCATTATCTTCAAAGGAGTTGCTCAGAGTAGATGACATTCTTTGAAGAACTTTTAATTTCGATGGAGTCTAATTTATTTTTTTTTCTTGGTTGCTTCTACTTTTAATGCCATATCTAGGAGACTTGTTTACTCCATGGTCGTAATGATTTACTCCATTTTTTTCTAAGAGTTTGATAGGTTTAATTATCACTTATATTTAGGTCTTTGACTCATTTTGAATTAATCAGTATTAGTTTGTAAATTTCCTCAGTTTCATGTCTGGACACTATGGCATACGAACATTATATTTGACTGTATTTTAAAAGAGATACTATGAAGAAACCTACCGCCTAATTCTTTTTCGTGCAGCTTTGAAACTAAAATATGATTTAATGTGTATCAAATGTGTGTGTAATCCTTCAAATAATGTGGAAACTTTTAAAGTAATTTAGAGTTCGGTTATTTTTGTAAAATAAAAAATTTAAAACTTCCTTCTAATTCCTAGTACTGATTAGCAAATATAAGTAACATATATTGGTTCTTTCTTTTTTTTTTTTTTTTTGGTACCGGGAATTGAACTTGGGAGCTTGCGCTTGCCAGACAGGCGCTTGTGCTGCTGAGCTATATTCCCGGCCCCCATATATTGGTCCTTATATTGCCTTTGTAGAATGCAATGAGTCCTTGTTTGAATGTAAATAATTTAGAAATTTTCTGTATGGACATTTGGATTGTTACAGGCACTGCTCTAGATGGTGAAATTGTTTGGTCAAGGCATTTTTACCTTTTAAATATTGGTGAATATACCAAATTATCCCCTGAAAAGTTGTAGCATTTCACACTTAGATATTGCAGTTAGGTTATTATATTATGTTGTAGAGGAACCCTTTGAATGTCATAGCGTCTCTTAGCTGTTACTGTAGTTCAAATTCTTAAACTTTTTAATTTGCAAAGTGATATATTATTCTTTTACTGATTGCCAACATTGACACGAATTCATTAAAGTAATATTTTGTCAGAACATGACCAGGTAAATTAATATTTTTCGTTTCATTCCTCAAGTGAAAAGTTCTTCTGTTTTGTTTACAAAGTGTACTGATACTGAAATAACTGAAAACTCTGTAGGGCAGTAGTCATTGTCAGATCATGGGGGTGGTGTAGCTTTGGATTAGCAGCAGTGCGTTGCGTAGGTAAGTTTTTTACTCAGTAGTTTCACATTTCAACTTCCGCTTAAGCCACTTATTATAGAAAATAATAAAACGTTTTGAATCTTGCCTAGTTTTACCATGTTCCGTTTCCTCTCTGATGGTATGTATTTCTGAAATTGCTGAAATGACAAAGCTCAGAGTAAAAACAGCAGACTTAATGAAAATAAATTGTAAATAAACTAACATACTGGTCCTTCTAGAATTGCAGCCCTAAGGATATTCTAAATTATTTAAGAAAGAACGTACTGTGTAGACTTTCCTTGTCGATGGCACCTCATGAGCATGCAGGTGAAGAGAGTGAGTGAAATCTGTTCTTACAACAGCAGCGGAGGAGCTGGGTTCTCATGTCACTTTAGCTGTGTCAGCGGGAACTCTGACTTGTAGGTTTCTTGCTTGCGAAAACAAGACACTGGACTGGTGAGCTTTGAGGTGCCCTCTGGTCTGACATAGATGCTTATAATTTCCTTTAAATTTCTTCTTTTTGACCCTGGGTCTAGTAGCGCACACCTCTAATCCCAGCACTAGGAGCCTGAGGCTGCAGGAACTTTAAGCCAGACCCTGTCTCAAAAACAGCAAAAATGAACAAAAATTTCTTAGTTTTGCCATCTTAGAACAATGCATTAGAACCAAGCAAAATTATGAGTAGTTGTACTTAGGTGGGTACCAAATTAGTAAAATTGTTCTGAGTTATATTAGTACCCTCCATTGAGTAGTAATACAAAATACCAGTTGATTACAAATTTGGGGTATTGTAAAGGAAATAGAAAGTAGAGTCCTGTTCTTGGCTTCTAGAAAATTAAAATTAGCAAATGAAAATATACCTGTGAAAACTTCTTTTTTTTTTTTTTTTTTACCAGAAGTGAAAGTGATTGTTTTGGCCATTCAGTGAATTCATTCAACAAATGTTTATTAGATGTCTGTGCTACACAGAGTCCTAGGCATTAGGGATGGAACGTTCGACTCCTGCTGTGCATGAGAAGTATTTTAGAAAGTTCTAACCTGTGAATTTATACAGGAAGCCACAGAATTTTTTTTAAGGCAAACAGTTTTATCTAAAAGAAACTTTTAGTTCAAAAGTATGCCCAAGAACCAACTTAAGAACTTGGTGTCCTTATTAGCTGAAGAATAAATGATGGTGGGGATAGTGACGGTGTCCAAATGTGAAGGCGCAGCGTGTGCTTTCGGTGGGATAGAATGTCCACAGTCACCCTGTGTGCGATGGTCTCCTCTTACAGCCTTTGGACATACCGGACGGTCGGAGAGCTCCACTCCCTGCTCACTACCGGAGCAGCAGTACCCGAAGCATCGACACTCAGACGCCCTCCGTGCAGGAGCGCAGCAGTAGCTGCAGCAGCCATTCACCTTGCGTGTCCCCCTTTTGTCCTCCGGAGTCCCAGGACGGTAGCCCTTGCTCAGCAGAAGATTTGCTCTATGATCGTGATAAAGGTGAGAGTGGAGGCATCCGCTTAGCTAGAGGGTTTGTTGTAGGGTCTGCTCATTATATTTCTTTATCTTAGATCATTGCATCATTTTTTCTTTTGTTGAATGACATAAAAGATTGGTTAATCTAGCTGTGTTTGTTCATTGGTTTCACATTACCCCTTCTCTGTGACTCTCACAAACATCTTCCATAAATGTGTCAGAGAAGCACAGCGCACGGTTCCAGCAGCCACTGAAAGCTGCCGCGTGGGGTGTGTACAACTTCACCCGAGCCTTTCCCTTGTTACTGTCCGGGGTTAACGATGGTTATGGGAGAGTTACTATTTCTCGTGCTTAAAGTTAGATTTCCTCATCAGTGATTTTGGAGGGAAGACTTTCTAAAAAAATTTTTTTGGGAAGAATGATTACATTTTTAGCCAAGTAAATGTAGTTTAATAAGTACCTGTAGGACGTGAGAACTGTTCCGTTATGGTGTGTAGGTTAACCGTTAACAGCTGCAAAACTCTGGGTTTTCTTCCTGTGTGCCTAGTTCTCTTGGTCTGTTACCAGGTGTTTGCTCCCTACTGTACTTGTTTCCTTGAATTTCTGACCCTCTGAGACCTGATTCTAGAATGCAGTACAGATTGTCCGACCGCACCTTTCTAGTTGTTGCCAAAGAAACACTGAATATTTTGTTTTATAACACTCGTACTGCTTCTCACCATGAACAAATCAATGACCATAAAAATTTTAAAACATAGAAAAGCTGGCATTTACAAAATCGAATGGGATTTTTATGTTCCTCATTCTGATTTGACTCCTACTGTTTATGATTTTATTTTCAGACTTTGTGTATATAAAGTGCTAGGATCCAAAGTGCTCAGCCCAGGAGCTCTATCTGTATGTGTGCAGAGTAGTGACGGGCCGAGGCAGAGGTACAGAATGAGCTTATCATCTTATTAGTCTCCCACAGGCTTCTTAGCAAACAGTTTCTCTTCTCCCCTGCGCCTGGAAGAACCACTGTTTTGACTTCTTCCACCTTAATTTACTTTCTGAATTTCATAGAAATGGAATGGTTAATAGTGTGCATTCTTTTGTGTCTGGTTTATCTCTTGCTTATTATACCTAACATGTGAGATGTTAAATGAAAACTTCTTTGGGCTTTGTCCTCTGCTTTTATATCTGCTCTTCCCCTTTCTTTGGACCCTTTAATTCTTGAAGTACTTGTGGACCCCCCTTCCTTTATTAAGAATAAAGTTATCTCAGACTTCTCTCTGCTTCGGGTGGAAAACCTCTATCTTTTTATTGTCAAAGTAGGTGACTTTTATTTCACCGAGGTGTCATACCAGGGCAGGCTGCTGTCATCATTTACTCACAACCATTTTGCTGCGGACATTTCACAGTAAAATAAATTAAAAAATACTTAGCGTCCAGTATGAGTCCAGTATGAGTGTGTGTTTTAAAGATCAAATGGAAATATTGGATAAGAGTTACAAGTTTTAGGCTACATAGATAGCAAATGTATAACAGGTCATTTCGGCTAATTTCAAAACTCCTTTTTTATACTGGTTGCAAGGATGAGTACAGTTCAAGTTGGCTACTCTTGTTACTTACTAATATTTGTAGTTGGGATAAATTGCAAAGTAGAAATAGTGAGGCGAGGCAGTTAATTCTGGAGCTTTGTTTTCTTTAAGTTTCGTATCTTGGATAACAGAGATGCTGAACCAGAAAGGAAATGTATGGGTAAGATGGTATCCCTAGGTGGGTCTCATTTTGATTGACTGGTTGTGAGACCCTTCAGGGCCTCCAAGTAAATATATCCTTGAGACGTAGATAAGTGGTTTCAGTAGCTCAGAAGGGGTCTTCATTTAGACTGTAGGTTTCAAACAGTATATGTTCTTTAATTTTTATTTTTCCTGAAAATTTATAATGTTTTTTTTATTATGAGAAAGTATAGCTGTATCACTCTCCTGCCATACTTCTGTACAAGCAACAATATCTTACAACAGAGAAATTAAGAACGACCCTGGCTGTGGGACCACACTTGAATGCATTTGAATCCTGTGAAATTTTGAGCATAAAATCTCTATTAATGCTTAAGGATTCAATAAACTATAGTTGCTGCCTTGAAAATATTCATTATTGTTGTCACATATTAGTTTTCCCAGTGCTTTCAAGGGAGCTTATAAACGACTGACTTTTCTTTTATACTTTATTCTGCCAACTGGCTAATAATCTGACCTCTCTCCATTTCTTAGGCTCCTTTCCTCAGACCTTGTGTGTTTCCTGTGTCCTTTTATTATTCCCTACCAGACATCTACCTGTACAATATGTTTTCATTGCTTTTCGTTTAATATGTAAAATTACTCCAGTGGCCCAGCTCATCTCTAAAACTAACAATTTTTTCCCTAATGGTTAAAAAAATCTCTTTGAGATATTACTTCATTATTTGGGGGACTAAAGGTGTTATCCTAGGAAAGCGCTTAGTTTAGCACAATGTTTGGTACATGGTAAGCCTTCAATAAATGGTAGTGAGTGTTGCTAATAGTGATTTTTTTTAAAAAATGATGGACATGAAAGAGATCTCAGAAACTTTTAAATTTTTTTTCCATTTTCCACAAGACAGCTTCTGTTTGGCAATAAGATTCTTAAGATTTCTGTTGTATGTGGCTTAAAGGTATAACATTGTAATTAAGATCAACCTGCTGTCTCTATTCTCTTGGAGAATATTTGGCCTACACATGAAATTTCTAAATCTCAGATCAGATATTATCTTTGTGAAAAGAAAGCTAAGCTAAGCAAGGAAGCTTTGCTTTTATATATGATTTTTACATGCACTTTAGGATGGAGAATAAAGATGTTTTTCAGCTAAGTTTTTACTCTCCTTTACTTGAGGGATATTGGTTGAGCATTTACTGCATGTCAGGTACTGTACTAGAGAGTGGAGAAATAAAGATAAATAAGATGTGACTTCTTTAAGGAAGTTTTAGCCTTATAGGGAGTAATAGTAATAGTAAACAATATGCTGTTGTACAGCTGTGTTTAGAATACTAAAAGCACAAGGGAAGAGTTGTCAGTTTTATAATTTCTGCATCTTACGTGTGTTTCGTCATTCAAACTATCTCTGACTCTTGATTGCTGTATGAAGTCTAAATTCTGGTTTCTTATTTGGGTCTTCTAAAAATACCAATTCTGTCCTTTGATTTGTATTTTCTACACTGAACTGTACTTTTTACTACACTATACTCTTATTTCCAGTAGAAACTTGTAGCTTTCTTGCTAGTTTTCTTCAACTATGAAAATAGAATGAATACCCGTAATTTTGTAGTCAACTAGGATCACTTCGGGGTACCTATGTATTCTGCAGCTGCTGTAAGAGAATTGTTCTTTGGTAGAATAAATAGCTAGTTCTGCAATCCCTAGGAGCTTAGATAGACATGCACAGAGGGATAGCTGTGGTGAGTATACTCTGATGAGGAAGGAGGTCGTGTTGAGCTGATTATTTCTCTACTTCTCATTTGTTATATTCTTACCCATTTCTTGACTTCACTAACAATATTTCTCTTAATTCCTAAGTCTGTTTTCCATGAATCATGGATAATTGTAGCTGAATAGCTCATTGGTTTTCCCTTTGGCTGTATCAGTTGCAATATCAAGATGAAACACCACTGAGAAAATTCTAGCTCTTGAGATGCTCGTTTCAGATGGTGTTTTTTTGTTTGTTTGTTTTGTTTTTATTTTGGTTCTGGGTTCTTTTTTTCCAGTAACCTAAAGATTGATGGCAGCCTGTTCATTTATATGAAGTTGCTAGGCTAAGTAACCTTGCAAATGTCCCGGTTTCTATGGCATAGAAAAATCAGGGATCCAGAATAACAGCTCTCGTCTTGGTGTTATCAAAGCATATCCTAAGACGTGGTCTAAGTTCCTCTACATCACCATGCCCAAAATGCAAGGGAAAAAATTATGCATTTATGTAACACAGATGGCAGCCTCAAAACTTTGGCTCTTTGAGCAGCTCTGCCAACCTTTCTTAATAGTAGCCAGACTGATGCTGGGCGAGCCACAAAATCTAGACTTGAGTCTGCCAGGTATCATTGGTCTTCGGCACAGCTCACTCAGGCAGTTATTATAAAAGTCTGCCATTTTGCAAGATACTGTGGAAACATTGATTATTGTAATCATGAAGTAAATGGAACCATTTTCTCAGGCCAACTACAGAGAGTTATATTTCATCTGTCCATAAGTTTCTTACTTGTAATTTAAACTATATTTTCTTGTCGGAACAGTATGCTGTGTGGATAGAGTTTCCCAAGCCAGTGCATATAAGCCTGTTTACCTTCTATGAATGTAACTCATTAATGTTATTAAACTTGTTAGGTATGAAGACTAAGTAGCTCTTTACCCCAGGAGAGAAAAAGGAAAATACCATCTTTTTAGGGCTAGGGGTGACCCCAGGCAAACTTCTGAAATAGCCAGTTTGGGGCATCTTCCTGCTCCTTTCCGCATACATCTTAACTTTATTTGTATTGATCTCTAGGGTTCTGCTTCTTAACCTTTTCTTTCATTATGCTTTGACCATCCACCTTCCTAGTATCCTGATCAGCCAAGGTTTTGTGGCAGTTGTTTTTTTGGTTTTGTTTTGTTTTTTGTCTTTTTGAGACAGGGTCTCACTGTGCAGTTCAGGTTGGCCTTGAGCTCACTTTGTAACCCAGGCTGGCCTCGAAATTGGAACGATCCTCCTGCCTCAGCTTCCCGACTGCTGGGATTACAGGCGTGTGCCATCATACCCAGCTGTGGCAGTTTTGATTTTGTGGTTTGTATTGTAAAAGCAAACTTCATGTGTCTTTTCACAGCTGCACTTTGAAAGTCACTATTTTTGAACCTGGATCTGTTTGTCAAGATTCTTTCTTTATGGTCCTAGAATCCTTGTTATCATACAAGAATGTTTTGGTGCTGAAATGACAGACCGTAAAGATACTGTTGTAGGAAAGGCATTATTCCATAGGTGAAATCTGATGAAATCTAGA